GTTTTTGTTAGTGAAAATGGAGGACCCCCACGTGGATGTGAAATTTGTATATATCCTATGGCAAATATTTCTAAAAATATTTCAACACTTGATGTTAATTGTGATCCTATGGTTTATCTTTTGATATTTCCTTTTGGTGATAAAGGATGGAAATACTTTGAATATATGATAATATTGAACCATATTACTTCTATATTATGCATATCACTTATCTAAAAGGATATATTACAATTAGGTTTTGACCAAATTTTACATCCTAGCAAGCCTACTCAACAATACATTGTTGATGCCTATGTCAAAGTTGAGAGTAATAACCTATATTATTATTATACCCATTACAAGTAGAAATATATACTAGTCTTATGGATTATGTTGCAAATCAGGTTTCAGATGAAAATATAAGCCCCAGTAAAATTGTTATACTACCTTTAAGTTTTGGTGGTGGACCTAGAGTAATATAACAAAATTATCAAAGATGCAATGACAATTGTTACTCATTACTCAAAATTAGATATTTTTATTACTTTCACTTGAAACCTTAAATGGCCAGAAATTATAGAAAATTTACATCCAAATAAGGGTCCAGAAGACCTTCTTGATTTGGTTTTTAAAGTTTTCTATATTAAACTTAAAGAATTTTTAAAAGACATCAAACTCAATCACTATCTCTCCAATATCACTTTACATATATATCCCTTGCCAGATTTAAGCAACACCTCATTTCTCCTTTGTTAGGCACCAGCTTTGACCACATGGTCAACATCGGTCAAAGGGAGGCTCAAGGGTATATTAAGGCATGTTAGGGCAAGGGACTTAACCTATCCTAAAGCTCACAATGGAGCGGCGGCATAGTGGAGCTTTTGAGGTAGCTCGGGGGTGGTTGGGTGGTGAGAAACCTCAAGAGGTGGCATAGCATAGTTTAGGGTGACTAGATCTCTGTCATTTTGCGTTAGATCATAATATTGGTATTAGAGGAGTTGGTTGCAATGGTCGACCAAGTTGAACGCTAGAATCCTATTGTTGATGGTGGTGTTGACAATAGTGCTGACGAAGCTGCAGAGATTTGGACCATTCAAGATGTGGTTCATGAGTTGCGAGCCTTTAACCGAAATCAGCAAGAGATGCAAGACGAGATGCATGGCATGATGGATACCATGCGTAAGCATGTTGAGGCACTCGAGGCTAAATAGGGTAGCGCTCCAAGTAAGCCTTCTTTGGTATATCGACTCAAGATTCCAATCTTTTCCAGTGATAATGGTGTGGACGAGTGTCTCACTTGGCTAGTCAATGTGAAGAAGTTATTAGTTGCTAGGGGAACTCCAGATGCAAAGGCTTTTTAGTGGCTATTCCGATGGTTTTGTGTGATGTGGGTCTTAGATGGTGGAATTGGCTTGAGGAGTCTCGTGTTGCAGATAAGAAACCACCAATATCTACCATGGATAAGTTTGAGGCTGCTTTCCGTTTATGTTTTGCCCCTCATTACGACATGGAGAATGCTCGTACAGAACTTATTATTACAAGTGGTGACTTTAGATAAACACTACCAGTTATTCCTAGCACAAATTATTTCAAATTCAAGAAAAAATGAATCTGTCATGGAAATTTTTTAGAACACTTCCACTAAAAAGGAATATGAGATTAATTGAAAATAACTCTTATGGGCTGATTGGCTTCTTCAAATTAGAAATGGTGATAGTTACTTGAATTTACCAATATTGCCTTCAGAATCTATTATATTACTTTACATAGAAATAATAATGTCCTCTATTGTTGATTTTGTTTTCCCATCTCTACAGAATATTTTAGATCCCTATTTTGCATCTAATAGAGTCATACTTACCCCACTTAATGATGATATTTTTCCCATTAATAATGTTATAGTTTCTTCCTTACCTAGTGACATACATATTTTAACTTTATTAATATTGAACACCCAGAAGATTTTCCAATTGAATTCTTAAATTCCATTACTCCTAATCTTCCACCATATAAATTAAAGTATTCCATTAAGGAATATATGCCTATTGGCTAGACTATGTAATGGTACACACCTCATTCTTAAATATGTCTTACCAACAGTTTTAGATTGTAAAATTGTATTAGGCTAATCCAAAAGTACATGAGCTTTCATCCCTTGAATCACACTCATACCTTCAAACATAGAAATTCTATTTAAAATGTCTAGAAGACAATTTCTAGTGCATTAAGGGTATTGCCTTACAATCTTTAAATGTCAAAGCTAGATATTTGACCGAATTGAAATATGCTTGCCAAATCTAATTTTCATTCATGATCAACTTTATATAGCTTTATCAAGATGCACATCACCAGTAGGACTAGGCATTAAACACCACACTCCAAGGATAGCTATTCCCTTCAAGTCCTACTTTCACCATCAACACAATATATAAAGAGGTTTTCTATTAAATATTTTTACCTCCACCAATTTCTTGTTGAGTTTGATTCTTGCCCCAACTGAAAGAAATTCTTGATATAAGTCTAATGAACAAATAAAAGGCCTGTCTATAATACTCCAATTCCAATTCCAAGAAATAGTCTTGGAGAAGCTTGTATTATAATTATGATATTCAAAATAGTATGCTAACAGGACAGCATATGCTGAACAAGTGCTAATCAGTTAATATAATTAAGATAGCACTTAGTCTAGCTTACAATTTTCTTCTTTATGTATATGTTTAGTTGATAGATAGAGTTGCCCTACTAATGTATTGATTGGGCAATTACAACAATTCCATATAGATTGCCTCTCTCTAAATATGAGATTTACATTTTAAACATGAGGTTGATGCTCAAGATGTGGGCTTAATACAAAAAAATTAAACACCTTTATAAATCTTATAAACATAATTGAATTTATAGTTTATATATTAATAACAAATATTTTTTGTACTTCAATTCTTAATTTTACTGGTAGTAGGTTAGTGTTCATAAAATTTTATTGTTCTATATTCTAAGAAAAGCAAATGGCAAATTAATTCTTTGCTAATATCTATATTACCTAAAATTAAATTAATTTCTTTTGATTCTATTTCTAGGTGTTTGAGTTTAAGGGTACATACAATCTTTTATTTTTAGGTTATGTTTGGGTATATTAATGTTCTTAAATCTTGGTTATATATTTATTCATATTCCAAGTAAAAATATAATAATTAAATAACGCTTTTCTAATTAATGATAATTATGCTTAGTAATTCTTCTTTACATTTCTATCAGTCTGGGTATTAATATATTAGTTTTTTTTAACATTTTAGGATTCTTAATTTATTTATATCCCAAGTAAAAACATAATTTACATGTAACATCTAATTAATAGAATTTATTTTTAGTAAGTCTTATTTTATTGTTTTTTCCCTGGAAGTGTACTAAATATATTTATTTTTATAACTATAAAAAATATTCTTAGCAATTTTTGTTTTAATTTTTTCGTGTTGAATATTAAATTTTTTAAAATCTTAGTATTCTAAATATATTCATATTCCTAAGTAATACTACATATAATATCTTTATCAATAATATTTAATTAATAATTCTTCTTTTTCACTTTGGGAATATATTAATGTTCTAACTATATAATCTATGCTGTATAGTGCGCTCTCTCTCTCTCTCTCTCTCTCTCTCTCTCTCTCTCTCTCTCTCTCTCTATATATATATATATATATAAAAGAAGAAAAAATTATAAAATTATAAATTTTTGTACTCATCCAGCATTTGCTGAGCAATACTAATTTTAATATAAGTAAGGGGAAAATTCTGTATAAAAGATTGAAGAGCCCTAATTTTCCATTTGGCTAAAGGTAGGGCTTGAGCACCGCCTTCGAAAGTTCTCAGCTATGGAGGAGCATTTCATCCTCAGGGTGCCGCCGTCGGTGGCGGAGCGGCTCAACGGCGTGCTCAGCGAGCGCGCCCAAGCGCCGGAAGACGAAGGGATCGACATCTGCTTTCGAGGTAATCACAACAAAGGGATTTTACTTTGGTTAGAAGGACTTCCTTGCGCCTGTAGATGCCAGAACTGGGATGTTTACGATCGGGAAAGACCAGTTTGAGGTATCGCTGGTCGATCTTCCTTGCGTCGTGGAGTCCTACAAGACTTACGACGATACTGTGCTCATCAAGGCGGCCGATATTGGCCAGGTAAGGATCAAAGGAGCTCTGTTTTCTTCTTCTCGGAAGGATGTTCTTATAGCTCTTGGTGTTTCTTCTGGAAGGGTTTTCTTACAGCTCTTGGGTGTAGATGATTCTCGTGAGAGATAACAAGGAGCCTGCTCCAGAGGGCGGGGAGCACAAAGACGGGCTCACTCCGGCGATGAGAGACGCGAGAAAGCGGCGATTTCGCAGAGACGCCGAGATCATCAATGTGAGATTCATAGAGAAGATCTTCGTCACTGTGATCTTCTTGGTTTTTCTTTTGCAGCCAGACTTCGTGCACAATGTGGAGAACGATCTGGTGAACATCCTGGCCGGAGGAACTGCGCGAGATGTGGATATCCTTTTTCTTCTTTTGCTGTTCTTGTGCTCTCTCTCTATGATTGTTTTGGAAGCTTTTCCTTAGATTCGTTTCGATCTACATGTTGAAGTGGTGGAGCAGGAAGAAGATGTTGAAGAAGCGGAGCCAGTTCCAGCTCCGGTTGCTGTGCCTCCGCCTGTTCAACCGGCAGCGGCGGTGGTGGCGAGTGACAAAATCGCCGCTGCTCCAAAGGCGATCGATGAATACGACGATTCATCGGACGAGAATGGCTACTACGAGGACTCGGATGATTACTGAAGCGATCCAGAGGCCTCAGGCAGTAAGTTATTTGCATAGTTTCTTGTCCAAAGAGCAAACACTGTGTATGATATAATCGAAAATCACACAGGCATTCTATTTTTCGGGTATAAACATGTTTAGATCTAAAATATTCTAAAATATTATAAATTGTTATTACATTTTAAAGAATATTCTACAATAGATTAAGAATATTCTTGTGCCAGCATCTGCCCTAGAATGCAATTCCGCTATGGCGCTCTTTCACGAGCGCGAACGGCAAGACGCTTGAGCTGCCGCGCTGCGGGTTTCAAGGTATGGCGCCAGCATCTGTGCCGCGTTGGGCAGCAGGATTTCGCTGCGATGGATCTTGTTTCCGCGCTCAAGGCGTGTGGCAGCTTGGGGGATCTGGATTCCGGCAGGAAAGCGCACCTCGCGGCTCTTGAGAACGGTGATCTCTCCCGCATTTTCGTTGCCACTGCATTGATTGATATGTATTCTAAGTGCAGGGCGATGGTGGAAGCCCAAGGCGTGTTTGACGCGATGGATTCTCGCGACGTGGTCTCGTGGAACGCTTTGATCGCGGGGTATGTGGAGAATGGACAGAGTAAGCTCGCTCTGGACTTGTTCTTTGGCTTGGAAAGACCAAACTCGAGAAGTTTTGTGGCTGCAGCTATGGCGTGTGTGGATTTGGCTGCGGACGAAGCCGGCCAAAGAATTGGTGACGAGGGAAGAGTGGTGAAGCTAAAGTTTCTGGAAGAAACCATGGCTGTGCACTCTCGGGCTCGACAGATGAAACTGGACGCTGCGATCTTTGTTGGAAACGCTCTGGTGAATTCATACGCAAAGTGTGGAAGCCTGATGGACGCTCGACGAGTGTTTGACGGTATGGTTCTTCATGACGTCGTGTCCTGGAACTCTCTGATGCTTGGCTGTGTAGAGAACGACGAGTTTGCCATCGCTTTGGAGCTCTTTTCACTGGCATTGTTTCGTGATGCTCGGACTGTCGTGGCTGCTCTCATGGCTTGTGGAAGCCTGGCCTTGGCAACAGGAAAAGAAGAGCTTGATCGACGTAAGGTTTTGGAGAAAGCCATGGCTGTTCACTCCCAGTGTGGAAAGCACAGGGATATCTTCGTCGAGAACACTCTGGTGGATGCTTACGCCAAGTGCGGCAGCATGATCGATTCGAGGAAGGTATTCGATAACATGCAGCGTCACAGTGTTGTTTCATGGAACGCTCTAATGCTTGGCTATGTAGAGAACGGGGAGGACGAGCTGGCTCTCGAGCTCTTTGAGGCCATGCGAGTTGCAAAGTTGATACAGCCGGATGCTAGGACGTTTGTGGCTGCTTCTATGGCCTGTGCTGGGCTATCAGCAAGTGAACAAAGCTGTGAACTCGACGGCAAAATGGTGAAGACGCTTTGCACAGAGAAAGGAACCAGGATACATCTTCAAGCTCGAGATTGTGGCTTTGATTCGGAACTCTTCGTGGCCAATGCTCTGATTGACATGTACGCGAAGTGTGGAAGCATAAACGACGCCAGGAAAGTTTTTACCGGTTTGAAACATCCTGACGTCGTTTCGTGGACATCACTGCTACAGGGATACGCGGAAGATGGTGGTGGTGGTGAGCTTGCTTTGGAGGTTTTTCAAAGACTGGAGCAAACCTCAGGTTGTGTGTTGAATTCTCGGGCTTTTGTCGCTGCTCTAATGGCTTGTTCCAGTTTGGCAGCAAAAGAGCAGGGACGAAAAGTCGATGGAAAGCTCGTGAAACTCAACTCCCTGGAGAAATCCTTGGAAATCCACTCAGCAGCTGCGAGAAACTTGTGTGACTCGGACATCTTTGTCAGCAATGCTCTGGTAAGTCTCTACTCAAATTGTGGATTCATGCTGGGTTCTCGGACAGTGTTTGACAGGATGAAAGCTCACGACTGTGTCTCGTGGAACTCGTTGATCCTGGGATACGTCCAGAATGGCGAGAGCTCCCTCGCTTTGGATCTCTTCGAGTGCCGCAACTTCCAGAAAAACTCCCGGGCATTCGTCGCCGCTCTCGCAGCTTGCGCAGCTCTTGCCGCTCGAGAAGATGCAGAATTCGTGGCCGGAAAGCTCGTGAAGCTCAAGAGCCTGGAAAGAGGCATGGCGATTCACTCGAGCGCCAGGAATTGCGACTGGTGGGAATCGAACTCCGGCAATACTTTCCTCACGAACAGCCTCTTTCACATGTACTCCAAGTGTGGGAGCTTGGAAGATGCTCAACGGATCTTTGACCTTGACCGTGGTCAAGGCCTTGGTAGGTTGACGTGGAAAGAGCTCGTCCAAGCTTACGTGGAGAATGGTGAGAGTGACCTGGCTCTTGGGATATTTGCTCATGTGGTTAAACTGGAGTGTGACGCCGGTGCTTTGCTTGCTGGGCTCATGGCCTGTGGTAACTTGGTAAATCTAGAGACTGGGAAATGGATCCAGGGGGAAATTTACCGCCGTGGCTATGAGAAAGTTACTGACATCGTAACTGGCATGGTTAGTTTTTACTCCAAATGCGGTGGGAGGATGGGGAATGCCCGCCACGTTTTTGACCAGGCTTGGATCCTCGACAGTGTTCTCTGGAATTCCCTTATATGCGGATATTCTAGAGAGGGTGAAATTAAAGTTACGCTTGATTTACTCTACCATATGCGAGGAGAAGGTTATCACCCAGACGGGGTAACTTTCCTCTCCATTCTCAATGCTTGCTGCCACGCTGGACTGGTGGACAGGGCCGAGCATGTGTTCCGGGTGGTGATGTGTCAAGAATGCGGCGTTGTGCCGTCTGTCCAACACTACACGTGTATGGTGGATCTGTTTGGCCGCACAAACCAGCTTGACAAGGCGCTGAGATTGGTGGAGGAAATGCCACACAAGCCGGACAAGGTGACGTGGCTGTCATTGCTGAGCGCGTCTAGAACGTGGAAGAATGCTGGCGTGGGCAAGGTTGCATTTGAGAAGGTGATGACGTTCGACAAAGAAGAGGCTGCGGCTTACTCGCTAATGGCAAACTTAATGGGTGGGGAGTGACTAAATACCGAAGTTCCACTATATAGCTAGTAAAAATGTAAATATTGTTTTTAATGTATTAGGTACATATATACAAAATGTCTGGTCATCCACGCGGATAATTTAGAAATAATAATTCAAGGCATTACAAAAAAACCAGCACAAGCTAATGTGCTTCTTAAGTTTAAAATTTGGGTGGTTAGGTTGTGCCAGGCTAAAGTGGTAGTGTAAGGCCAAAGCAACACGTAGAGGACCAGGTAGCTTGTGACCCACAAAAAATTAGGTTAATACATATCAACTATTAAACTGACAAGAACAAATATTACACTAGATCTTAGCCAAAAGGCAAAAAAAGGATGAATATTCATCGCGCGCATGTGGGGATAGGGCGGGGGCCAACTTCCTCTACTTAAATGGCTAATATTAACCAATGATTAAAATTTAAATATGCCAAGCGTCTCTCTCTGACTAATTGTTTCCAGCTGACTTTAGAAGTGACTCGGCTGGTGGCGCTTCAAATGAAACACATTGCTAAAGTACTTGCGACTAAAAATCGAGAAAGCTCAAGCGAAGCAGCCAAAAATTTCAGGAGCTTTGTCCTTGTTCTGCAAGATGAAGGACGAGTTTTTTTTTAAGATCAACTGAAGTATGAGAAAATACTGACCTTTGAAATCTGTGTTATTGATCTGGCTGTTTTGGTTTTGGAAGATCCGGGTACACTCCAGGAGGCCTCGGTCGCGGCTCAATGCTCAAGAGTTGAGTCGATTGTCCGATAGCATCCACCCAGCCATAATGTGGCTCGGCACTACATGAACAAGCAAAAACATCTATGTCAACAAAAAGAAAAGGCAAGGAAAACAAAAATATACTTGTAAACAGTGGTCTCCGTGACAACACTATCCCAGCTTTCGCCACTTGTGCTCTTTCCGTATTTGTGGACTTTCCTACAGGTTACAAGACAATCGCTAGTAAAAAGCAGAACATCAAATTCAATCATACCCGTCGCCGAGGTGCTCTTCACCCCAAGTCCTCGACCAGCCTTGAGAAAAAGAAAATATAGAAGAGAGCCTCAGTATCTTTTGGAAGTAACTTAGAGCTTGGTGGCTTTTGAAAGACCCTCTAGAAAAAGAGAAGGAAAAGATTTGATAACTTACTTTCAGCATTAGATGAATGCCATGTCTCACCCCTGCCGAGTCCCCGCACCATTTTGGAACTTCTCTTCCCACTTATCACCCCATTTCTCCCCGGTTGCATTCTCGGCCCACTTATCAGTCCTAACTTGAGTTCGAGTATACAAGCTGGTAAGACAAAAGTAAAACCAAAGTTCCATACCATTTTAGCACTGCTCCTCGTCCATCATATTGTTCGCCCCACTTCTCCCACCAGGACTGCTCATTGAGCCTTCCATACTTGTGAGCACCTTTCTCTGTCCAGCCCTTGGCATTATACTTTTCCCACCTGGTCCAAAACTACGATGTGATATTAAGCTTGATCATACGACGTGTTCTTACCATTTCTCGTACCATCCGGCCTCCCCATTCCCTTGCTTCGCTTGTTTCTGTGCCGTCCTTTCGATTCGAGCCAGGTTACTGCGCAAGAAAACACATAAAATGGATTTCAACAGTCTTAATATCTCCTCACCTCAATTCATCTTGACGCAGAATTTCCTGCCAGGTTTCCCACCAGGCATCGCCTTCAGCATTTTTGCCGGACTTTTCAGCACCTGCACTATCCACAAGAGTGTAAAACAAGAAAAAATAAGCGAAACAAAGTTTACCAAGTTCCTTATAGCCCGTCCAGTCGCATTTTTCCCACCACTATTAGAAAAAGCAAGCTATGCTATTAAGTTGAAAAAGGCTAAAACGTACTGTTTCCTTCCATTCCGTGGAGCCATCGCTGCTTCGTCCTCCCATAACCGTATAGCGACACCGATAGCCATTTTCACCAAGATCCTCTCCACACTCTCGGAACCATGTACTTCCATCTTCATTTGTTCCGGAATCATTGGAAACCTCACTGCTTATCTTGATGCCCCAGTCCTTTTCACTGGCGATTCCAGTATCTGTACATCAAAGAATCCAATCAACAAAGAAAGGTAAATAGAAGAGAGACGTTTTATAACCTCTCGCGGGTGGAGTATCTCGGGGCTGAGAGACACAATTCACCTTTGTTCGTCTTTGATCATTTGAAGTATTCTTAAGCCTGAAACTCAAGGAATAGAAGTTAAAGCCACACACCAACGAATAAAATCCATACCTTGCCGAGCTAAACGCTTGAGCTTGTAGCACGGCCTGTGGTGTGGATACCAGCTTCTGCCGTTGGTCTTTGGAGTTAAAACCAACCATTCTCTCCCATGGTTCTTCCAAAACTTGGTGAATTCCACAGGTGACCGCATCTTCATTGCTTCTGGTGTGTTTCTCGTTGAAAAACACAGAACTTATCGTCGAGTTCTTCTGCCTTGGAAGCCTCAAGCTCTTCTTCTTCCTTCCAAGAGAAAAAGCATCCTTGCCTTTCAGTGACCCACCAAATAGAGACGCAGGAATCCCTGTTACTGGACTGGTCGTACATGAACTTCTAGATGGGAACTTGTTGGAAGAACCAATTCCAAAACCCACGGTCACGCTCACAGCCATAAAATCAACCCAACACTCCCCTCTCCCTCTTGCATTTCCTGTTCTAGTGCTCTACAAACGTCCCAAAGAAAGTTTCGCCGAAGAATAGCTCACTCAAGCCAAGAGGCTCCACATACCTCTCAAGCTCGGAATCAAGCACCTCATCCAGGCTGTGACGAATTCGAGCTGCGTACCATTGGATTCCAGTGAACTCCCAGCCAGCGCCGGATCGGCCTGCTCTAGCCCTAAAACATACCTGTAAAAAAGGCAGATAATACACGTCGGACAAGGCCAAGCAAATGACGCCGCGTGTCAGTTCTCACAACGAATTCCTGGCACAAATCCTATTTACGATGCCTGTGATGAAGAGATCGGGATGGTTTCTTGACGCCAGCTGACCGGCTTGCAGAGATCTTAGCAGCGGATGTGGCACCGCAAAGCTTGAAGGTGGATACTCGAAACCACCCGGCGGCGAGCGAGCGAGCGAGCGGGAAGAGAGCTCTCGAGCGAACAAAGAGAAGACCACATCAATGCTATTTGCTCATGGTTGAAGATTTTTGATGTGGATGATAATGTGTTTAAGAGTTTCTGGAACAAAACCTCAGAAGTTTTGAAGTATCCACACATTAATGTAGCCTTTTACTGTTTGGCCTTTGGAAGAAACAAGACGCTTGCTAAAATACCTACAGAAAAAGATACTCAACCCTCTAGCGGAGGCAATCATTAACAAGCAGCTTATGTGACCTCGGTCTCATGCTTTATGGATTGAAAACACAGCCATTTTTTCAAAAAGGCTTTAAGTTTTAAATAAATAAAGACAACTCATATTGGTATTTTTCCGCTAGAGAATATCCTAAAATATACTTATGTGTGTGTCATCCATGATCATCGTCATAACAACTTCACCCAATTGCAATGAGCCACGAGTACACGAGTTACCTGACTTTGGTCGCGTGACTTTCCAGTGACCAATTCACCTGGCAACGCAAAGAAAAAAACAAGGATGGCTATGGATTATTTGATTACCCATCCCTAATTTTTCCTTTTGCCAAAACATAGCGAAGCTAAATTTGCATTCCCGGGAGAAATTTTCGGGGGGCCGGGGTCCCTTCCCCTCAATTCGTGCATGGAACCAGTTTCCCAAGGGGGACGCATGGAACCCCGCCCTCATGGATCATCTGCTCTGAGAGACTCAAAAGTGTTGGTTTTTCTGTCCCCCTTGGCCTCGTCTCCAGCGCATTCAGCACTTCCAAGATTATCGTTGAGACATGTTTTTTGAGTAGCATCAAGACCGAAAGCGGAGAGCAGCCCTTCTTCACCCAGCCCATACGCTTCATGAGGCTGGCCCGACTTGCAAAGAGCGTCCACCAGAGTGACCTTTGAAGCACAATCCTCTAAATCTCTATCAGGTCCTGAAAGATCAATAGAGCCATCCTTGCCTAAATAAAAAAGAAAAAAGATGTACATTGACTTTTGATACCCGCCATCGTTTCAATCTTCTTCCTTACATAAGCTCCACTGAAACAACAAGAAACAACAATACATTTAGAAGAATGAAATGAAGTTAGCATGGAATTACCTCTTCATGCAAGAATAAGCTACAACGAAATGCCTGATGAGTTGCGACCGTTGGGGTTCCTTTCATGTCGCTCACCGACGGCCAAAGCATTCAAAGCCTGTGTCGTGTGCTTTGGGTATATAAGCTTTTCTTACCACAGTATAGTTCTGGCATCTGACCACCTTTTTGTTGACACGCAGTAGCTTGTAAAGAATTATAGATAAGGTTATCATCATTCTGGCAAACTTGGACACTACTACTCCACACCACGAACTCACCACAGCTGTTCAGCTCCATGCAGCTTAAGTGCCCGTTTAGTTCTGCACTGGCCATTCACCGAGGACGCGTGAGACCGTGCCGACATAAACTTCCTGCTTGGATCCGTTCGACCATTCATCCAAAACAGGAGGAAATCCTTAGAACTGAGTGATACCTTATGAAACGAAGAGGATTAAAAATAATTGGAGCTTGGAGTTACCTCTTCTCAAAGTATTCACAACGTAGATCTCATTACCTGATGGAACTAAAATAATTAGAAAGAAAAGAGCTTGGATCTCCCTCCTCGGTGAAGTTTTCACAACGTATATCTCGTGAATTAAAAACAGTTACCTCTTCTTCCTCTTCGGTGAAGTTTCCACAACGTAGATTGGGACAAAGAGGAATAAAAACAATTACAAAGAAAAGATAACTCTTCTCCTCAGTGAAGTTTCGGAACATCAAAGTTGAGCTCGTCCAAATCCCGTCCATAGAATCGCTACGACCGCGTTGACTCACTAAAACCCTAACCCTGTCATTGAAATCTCGCCATTGAATAGGTTTGCGAATTCTTTCAGTGATGGTGGCGAGCGTGCAGATTCTTTCAATTTGTGCTGGGTTGGAGAGTCTCTAGCTCACTCACAACTTGAGAATGAACAAACAAACCAACTAAACATCACTAACTAAACATGCCACAACCAAACATTTGTTGGCTACCAACTAAGGTCTATGTTGGAGTATAAATGTAAGCATTTCTAAAACACTAGGCTATAGGCTCTTCCCTTTAGCTCGAGGGAAAGTGGAAACGCAGCATCAACTTCTCTCTGAATTCAACACCACAACAGGTACTCTTACTCTCTCTTTCTTTCTCCAAGAATTTGTTCTAACCATCTCTCCTCTCTCTCGCTAGCATGCTGTGTTACCTCCTCTTTATCTTCTTACTTACAAAATCAGTAGAATCACTGGATCGAGTTGTTGTGGACGGTGTAAGATTGGTTCGCATTGTTTCATCAACCAATCCTTCTAAAGTTATTTCTGTTAATCATGGCACTGGAACTGTTGTTTTAGCGGACCTTAATCATAATGACAACTACCAGGTAAAATATTTCTCTATAATTTTTTTTTAATTTCCTTTTTATAAGGTTTGGGAGCTTTCATATGCCATGGGCCGGTTACGAGATTCAAGTGGGCTATTTGCATATTCCCTCAAGAATTTCGAGACTCAAACTTATCTTCACCATGGCATGTCACCCGGAGAGGTATTTATCATCGTTTTTTAAGCTTTATTTTTTAAAATGTTTTTATTCCAGGTGATTATAACACAATATTTTGAGATTCCTGATTCGGACTTATTATGGAACTCGGGTACGGAAGACGTTCGTGGAGGCTACTACGTAATACGGGCAACCACAAACGTTTATCTGAGTCTGTCCATCAAGAAACCAAATTCGATTACAGTGGAAGTTGGTCAAAAAAGAGCTGACCAATTATGGAAATTCGTTGAAGTTAATCTCGATTAATTCTAGACTCTTGCATTCTTTACTGGGGGCGCTTGGCTTTGGAAGAGGCACGGCGCGCTAGCTGGAGAGCACAGAAGAGCGTGGCTGGAAATCGGCGTGGCGAGGAAGAGCGTGTTCTTTCTTTTTTTCCCTAGACGATTGCATACTGGAGACTAGGGCGGGAGACAGCAGCGGCGAAGGCGCAGGGCCAATCTCGCATGGAACCCAGCTCAGGTTCACAGTCTCTAGGATATGTTGCCATTCCTCTTTTTTTATAGGAATGAGAAGATGGTCGCCAAGGGACGAGGTGAGCCGAATTTCAAGCATTCAGCTGAAGTTTTTGGAAGTGAAGGTTTTTCTGATGCTGATGCTATGATTGATTGCAGCATAGACAACGGGTGATGTATGAAGAATAAAAGAAGCTTGCTTGTCCAACAGCAAGAATAAACGAAGCTCAAGTCTCGCTCTATAAGCACGAACTCGCGAGGAAAAGAATGCAGGTGTGATATGTGCCTTCTAGTTTTTAAATTCCAAAGGAATTTTCAGGCAGCCAAGGAGCGAGGAACTCAGACTGAAAAGAAGAAGGAGCTTTGGTGGAGGCTGGGACGTGCCCACGAAGGCCGGCTGACGGAGAATGTCAAAGAGGCTTTTGCTCGAGCGAACACACAGAAAGACATTCGATCAACACGCTGTTAGAGATGAAAGTTTCTTTCTAGGCATTTTACAGTTCCTACGTGGTCAAGCGTTGCGAGTTTTCAGTTGAGAAAGACGGACTCCGGTGAGAACAGAGTGCCCAAATAACAATTCATCAAATCTGTTTAGTCTGTGTTTCCTTTTCTTCTGATCTATGCCTAGCTAGAAAGCCAAAAGTATGCAGAAAAAATGGAAATTCAGTTTATCAACAAGATATAGACAGGTTTGACAAACCGCGAACGCTAACAGAATCAGCTGCGCAATCCAGTCTGTAGCCAGAATCTCTTTTACCTTGAAGCTTGCCAATGGGAATGGAACAATCTCCTAAATGCTTTGAGACATGCCTTCAGCATACAAGCTTGGATCACGAAGATCTCTGTAAGCCGATTCGCTGGCGTCAAGAAACCATCCCGATCTCTGTCAATTGAGTTGAACCTCATGAAAATTTTACACTCATTGTTGCAGACACAAGTTGTTATGGTGGTAGTAAACAAAAGCTTGGTTAAACTCGCTGAAGTCAATCCTCCCGTCCTTGTTTGCATCTTGCACTCTTGATCCTCAGGCACTTCTTGAACTCCGCCCAATCATCGCAACAGGATCTGTAAATGTTTTGGCAATGGGAAAATCAGCTTTTAAAAGGGATTGCCTTGGGTAGGGTCACCATCTTCCAATCCAGATAGTTCATGAGATACTCGTACCAGCCTAAAACACAATCCTTGTTTCTGTCTTTGCGTTGCCAGATGAATTCTTCATGAATGTCATACTGCTTATTAAACCAAACATCAGCCTCCTATCGAGCTCAGTTGGTGGGAATGTAAAATACAATACCTTCAAGATTTGTTTTTAACGGGCTTGTGGCAGCCAAGCGACGTTGAAAGAACCAACAACATAACCATATTACTCCAAAAGTATATGCCTTGGGTAACGGATTTGTTAACACAATAGTACTAGAGATTCCAGATGGGCTCATGAGGATACAAGTGAATTTACATCCTGGAAGGCCTTGCAAGGCAGTCACACAATGGAAGAAGTCGAAGCCTTTGATTTATTAATGGAATGGGTTCTTTATTTCAGTAGTTGATTTTCATATAGCAGGCATTGGTGTGTAAGTAGCAGGACCTTGATTCGGATCATGAGCCAACCGGCTGTTACACTGTGCCTAGTTGGAGAGGCATACGATCAGTGCAATTCCTTAGGGAAGTCCGATCATATCGTGCAATATAGATATATTTTAGACATGACTTTAAGAGCGTTCAAAAAGATTGCTAGGAAGTTCTGAAGTAAAATGTGGTTATTAGCCACACATAAACAGGGCAGCAGCAGCGGCGGTGTGATGTGTGCCTTCTAGTTTCTACTTCCATTGGAATTTTCAGGCAGCCAAAGAGCGAGGAACTCGGAGATGGTGAAGATGCGCCAGCGTCGTCAGATTGAAAAGGAGAATGAGCTTTGGCGGAGGCTGAGGGACGTGCCCAAGTGGCCAATAGTGATTCATCAAGAAAATGAAATTTCAGAAAAATAAGGTTTATGAACAAGATATTAGCCACACATAGGGCATCAAACTGAGATCGATCTGCTTTTGCTAACAGAATCAGCTTTGCAATCCAGTCTGTAGCCAGAATCTCTTCCACCTTCAAGCTTGCCAATGGGAATGGAACAATCTCTTTTGCTTTGAGACATGCCTCGTACAAGCTTGGATTGCGGGGAGCCTCGTATGCTGCTAAAATCTCTGCAAGCCCATCAGCTGGAGTCAAGAAACCATCATGATCTCTGTCGATTGAGTTGAACCTCATGAAGATTTCAGTCTCATTGTTAGGCTCTCGATGTGTACAAAAGTTGTTATGGTGGTAGTAAACAAAAGCTTGGCTAAACTCGCTGAAGTAGATCCTCCCATCTTTGTTTGCATCTTGCACGTTGTACAACCACATTTGCAATTTTCTGCCACTTTTGTCCTTGATCCTCTCTGGGCTCAGGCAGTTCTTGGTGATGGGGTTCTTAATTGGGTGGAGTTCATTTTCATCACAAGCGTCATAATAAGATCAATGATAGTGTTCTGGGAAAAACTGAAAGTCAAAGGTTTTGTATGGGATTGCGCTGGGTAGCATCATTATTTTCTAATCCAAATAATCCATGGCATACTCGTACCAACCTAAAACACCATCCTTATTTCTGTCTTTACGTTGCCACATCTTTTCGAGCTTAGTTGGTGGAACATGTAAATTATAATAACAAGGATTTTCTCTTTATGCAAGTGTCGAGGGCCAGAGCTAGCTCAAGAATAAGACTTGGTCAAAGTCTCAGCCACATATTCCCCCACTATAACCAAAAAGCATCCCTTAGTGCCAGAGGTTGACGACAGGGGGGACGACCAATTTCCAGGCATAGCTTGTATGTAGAAGTGAAAGGAGTGAAATAAAAGGGAAAATTTTTGGAAGGATGTTTCGTCCAATAGCCTTGGAGCGTGTGGAGTGAAGGTTGGCAGTGCAGTGGCGACTACGATTATTTGAGGAGTGCGAGAATCACTCAAGATCAACCAATCTGTGTGAGTTATCTGGGTTAGGATGTTGGTAGAGGTTCTAGCAGAGGTCGCTGAAGAGGCTACAGATGAGGTTAGGCAGCAGTGATTCTCCACATTGCTAGTGTGCTGTCGTGAGGAGCAACATCTTTTGGTGCATTGCCCGGGAAACAAAGCGAGCGTGGAGATTGTGGTAGAAGGGTGAGCGCCAAGAGAAGCCAGGATGCCCTCACCAAATCGAGGCCATTCCTCAAACAATCCGTGGCCTTTTGGTGTATGAGCCAAAGAAGTCAAGAGTACTTGGTGAGACTTGTAGAAGCATAAGAGCGAGAGGAAAGACGAATGAAGTAGAGACGTGAGAGAGAGGCGAGAATTCTTGCGAGAAATCTGCCACTGGTTCATAATCCTGAGAGTCCAAGAGCGAGGAGTGCAAATCCTCGGCCAAGCAGTCCTCTCAGCGAGCAGGAGAACAATCAGAAACAAGAAGACGAGTGGCAGGAGTTCCAGTCGTCACTGCCACAGCAACAGCCAATAGAGCAACAGCAACAACCACCAATCCAACAAGTACAACAATCTCAGTAGCAACAAGCAGGGAATATGACAACGACAAAAATGAAGTATACCATCTTTAATGGTATGGGAGATCCAGATGCCCACGTGACAGCATTCGAGAATACGTCTACAGCAAATGATGAGGCAGATGCAGCAGATTGCAAGAAACTTTTTCCAGCCACGTTACAGGGCATAGCTGCAGAATGGATGGCTCAAGTTCCAACAGCAACAGATTGGGCAGCGTTAAGGGCATCCTTTTTGGCTACCTTTCGGCCGGTAGGCTTTTCACAGCGACTCATAAGTGATCTGAGTCATTTCCAACTCTTGCCAGGCGAGAGTTTACAAAGCTATACATTAAGGTTCAAGGGATTGATCCTTAAGAAGCAACCGCAGCCGATAGAAGAAGAACAAGCACAATATTACACAAATGGCTTGCCTCATGCAGTTAGCTTTCATGTCTCGTGCCATAATCCACAAACCTTGGCCGATGCAATTTGTCTGGCGGGAACCTGGTAACAAGCGCAGCTCAAGATGAGACACCACTTCAGTAATCTTGGATTGGGAGCTTTCAGCGATGGAATGATGACTTCTATGATGGGAGGACCTGGAAGCACACCGCAACAACCAATACCTATTAGACAACAGCCTTTTGGAGTCTTTGGAACAAGTCTTGGGATGATGGATTATAGCTACTAGCAACAGCAACAATGGCAAGCTTCAACAAGTGTAGTTCCAAATCTAGCGGCAACTACAATGGACATCCAAGCAGAGATGAAGAAAACAAAGGAAGACATGGTGGAAGCCATGACAAAAACTTGCAATTGAACTAGGTCAGAGGGGTACAAAGCAGGCCACATGCGGCAACAAGAAACCATTTGGTGTGTGCGATGCAACAATTATGAACACTACCCAAATGAGTGTCCACAGCCACTAGTGAATCGAGAGAAGTGTCAGTATTGCCGGCAAACTAATCATCGCTCAAAGGATTGTTTTTACAAGCCAGGAAATCCAGCAATCCCTACCAGTTACATCCAGACTGCGCCATCATCACCACCATCTTCGGCTCGAGCATCGACCTGGTTTCAACGCCCGTTTTCTCCTCCAATCTAGACCATGAGCTATGAGCCAGTGATTCAAGGGTATATGCCAGATATGATTCCAGTATATGCAGCAGCACCAATTCTAGGTAGCCGTGGACAAGGAGCTCCCTGTAGAGGACCTGTTCAACGCTGGAATTGCGATGAGATGGGCCACATTTCATCAAACTGTCCACATCCCAAGAAGCAGATTGGGTATCAGCCCATATGTGGAATCTGTCAGACACAGGGCTTGCACGAGCAAGACAATTGCCCACATAAGCTCAAGCCAAGCAAGGGAAAGGGGCTTGTAGAAAGCAATGCAATTTTTGTCCAGCAAGCTGCACTAGAATCTGGAGTTATGACATGGGCACGGAGGTGTCAACAGATGGAGAACTCTATAATTGAGGATGCTGAGGAAGAGGATGACCTAAAGAAAATTGCAAGAAAGAACCGCAAGGAGAAAAGAGGGAGCAAACAGCCCAGATCAGATCCACCGGCTACAAATGACCAAGATAAACCAGTTAGCTACCCCAGTTAGGGCTCTTGACAAGGGCTAGGAAGTCACCAAGGCGCTACATAGGAAGTGGAAACGCGTGTTGAATCTGGAAATGCAGCCATACAATATTCTTCAAGACTTAGACAGTCAACGCCCGAATATCACATTTGCTCAGCTCTTGCAATTGGCTCCAGGCATGAGGAAAGTGTTGGCTGTGGCCATGAAAGGACATTGAGAAGTACTGGTTAATTCAGCTTGGCCCCTTATCACAGATCTCAGTTCCCCCTGTATAGACGTAGAGATGCAAGGCGAGTTGATCCGTCCCGCTGTGATCGATGGTGGAAGTGGGGTGAATATTTTGCCTGAGGAGACATGGCAAAAGTTCAATCTTCCAAAACCAATTCTAGTGCCATTTATGGTTAAAATGGCCGACTAGAGACATGTCCAGCCAAGAGGAATCGTGCCGGTGTTTGCACTCAGATTGCTGGTCTAGTGT